AAACTCAATTCAGAACTGCTTCTACTTTTTTTTTGTTTTTTTGGTCGACAATAAATTCAGGAACTGCTTCTACTTGGAACTAGAAAAAATGAGTATATACATGCGGCATGCACGTGAAATTATCAATTAATAATCCAAATATGCCAATCCATTTGTACATGGATGTAAGCTCTTAATGTGTTCTTTCCCTTTGTGAGCAAAGATTTGTTCTTGGTTGTTTTGTGTAATAAGCCTGTGAGTTTCTTGGGTGCATTTGGGATTTGGATGTGAGGATTAAATTATGTAATTCCTGGGTGAGAAGTGTTAATCTCTTTTGGTACTAGTGGAATTTCCTTAGTGTCTTCGAACTAGATGTAGACTAAACACAGGTCGAACCGGTATAAATCCTTATGTTCTTTAGATTTATGAATTGCATATTTGCCTTTGGTGATTGACATTTTCTATTTAAACCCCACACTTCTCTTAGTTCACCCCATGTTCTAAGTTCACCCCATCTTTTAATTTAAATTTTCACAATTTCTAAGAAAACCCCACTATCTTCCCAAACTACCCTTAAATACACCCCAAACTGAAAAAATAAGAAATAAAGAGATTTTCTATTTAAACCCCACAATTTTCTTTGTTTCCAGCAAAAAAAACACAAACAAATAGAACCCGAAACCCAAAATTTAATACTTTCTAGAGAAAGTGAACAACTTTACCTCTCTCCAAGAACTGTAATTGGAATTCCAACACTTGGGTATTGTTGAGTTGATAATCAACAAGCCTTTCCATCAACTCCCACGCATATTTAAAGAGGTAGGCTCGTCAATTTTCTATGTCTTTAAAAGAGAAGAGTAATCTGGCAATAGGATATAAATGAGTTTTTATTTTTCTAAAACTTGATATGAAGAGTAGTGGGGTGTGTGTATAGATGTACTAAGGTTAATTATTAAGTTGGATGACCTTTTTTGTCTTTTTACACAATAATAAAACTTACAGCTTAATGATTTAAGTATTAGGGTGAACAAAGAAAAGTGCGGGGTTTAAATAGAAAATCTCTTTTATATTTGGCCAACTTGTGAAATCTATTTTCATCACGCACAACACTAATAAACGTGACAAAAGATTAGGTAAGTGGAGAAGAGGAGGAGGTGAAATGGTATTTGCCCTACATACTGGAAGCCTTGTCTTAAGGTCCACGTTGTTTGTCAATTAAGCAAATTATGAGTTTGTGTTGGTGTGGTGGTGACATGTAGTGATGGGCACGTTCCGCTCCGGTCCGATCCCGGTTTTCCCTCAAATTGGAACCGAAACTAAAACTTACACACGATCCAATTATGTTTGGTTTTCATAGAAAATGTCTAGAAGAACCAAACCTATGCGGTTCTAGTTTGGTTTGGTTGATTTCCAGGTTGGAAAGATGACAATATGAAGAGGTAATAAAAAGAGAAATAGGAAGAAGAGAGAAAGAGGTGGAAGAGATAAAAAATGAGATAAAGAGGTAGAGAAGAGATAAAACATATAAAGAGGAATATAAATGAAAAAAAATAGGTGAAAAAGAGAGAAAGATGAAGCGCAACAATAATGGTTATGGTTCACCGAAAAGAAAAAGAAGTTGGGTATAAATTGGAACTAAGACATTGGGTATAAAGAAGTTCGATTTAGACTAGTTTTTTCAAGACAAGAATCAAGATGGAAATCAATCCAAAGAGGTCCAGTTTGGTTTTTGAGCATAGGTTGTCTTTTTTAGTCAACACGATTTGTTTTCAATTTGTTTTCGACTCGATTCGACTTGATTCGCCAGTTCAAATGACCACCCCTAGTGACATGTGTTTGAATCAAAACAGGGAGTACCTCATTTTCCTACAACACATGACATGATCATGACGTCCTTATTTTCTTTAAAAATGTGCATATTATCAAATATTCAATAATAATGGTGAATATTTTTTGGAGGAGCTAAGAGTGATCAATATATAAGTTATAACAAAAATAAGTTGAAACGGTGGCCTCAAACCAAACACGGTGCACGTTTGTCATATACTACCCAAATTCGCACCAGAGCTTATCAAGTCTGATTTTAGTTATTTTAAAGGGGCTTGTAACTCAAGTGATTAAGGGCATTTATTATGTATCCTAGATCTTAGGTTTGATTCCCCCTCTTCTAATATCGCTTATAAAAAATATAAATAAGTAAAAAAATCTAATTTCAGTTTTCATCCAAAAGAAAGCCCAATTAGCACTTTTCTTTTTTACTTTTTTTATAAAATAAAATTAAAAGTGGTAAGTACCATTTGAATTAACACGTGTCCTCTAAAAAAGTTGGGCTATGTTTGTTTTGGTTAAATGATCTAGAAGGCCGAAGCAGAGGAAAAACCAAACAAAAACTGCTTTGGGCTGCTTTGAATTGCAAGGGCCATCGCAGTGGCTTGAGCTGGAATTTGTAGGGGTTAGTCGCTCTTTCTGGATTGATTTGGTTTGTTTTTGTTTGTTTCAGAAGAAAATTGGAAAACTTTGGTTATTATTATAGCTGATGGGTGGGTGGTTGGGAATTTGACGGATTTGGTAAAAGTATTGGGTAAAATATTCTAGATTTAGACTTTATCCGCATTTGTTGAGGGTTTTTTTTTTTAATAATCAATTCATTCTATTAAAATGAAAGGGATTATACAGTCAGAAAATGCAAAAATAAGAACCAGCCCAACACTAATAGGTACAAGGCCTTAGCCCAACGTAAAGAAAAAATAGAAGCTATATAAAGGAAAAACCCTAAAACAAACATCCAACCCAATACAAACATAAAGGAAGAACCCTAAATCTGAGAAGCTACAATCACCACTTCCCACTTGTCGGGCCACCGTCGCAGATCCACAACTGCTAGAGATGGGTAACCAGTAACCAGACAGACCACTGCTTGGAACGGAGAATGGTGGTGGATGAACCACCACGCAAAAAGCACTACCATAATCCTAGAAGCACGTGCAAAGAGCACTTTTGAAGCATTCTCATCCATGAAGCCGAGGAGCAGTGGCTGGTGGTTGAGATCTCTGGTCGGGACACAGCTGAAGGGAATCTATGGAGGACACCATAACAAAGAAAGGGCAAGGGATGTAGAGGTGAGAAGTGTAGGTTGAAGAACAACATTTATGGGTGGGGGAGAAAGAGGAGAGTGGAAGTGCATATATGGGTTTTTCACATTTGGGCATAATTTAGGGAAATTTAAGGTGAGGGTGAAGAGAAAAAAGTAGAGAAAGTCAATCATAGGAAAAGGGGAAGAGGAGAACTTGAGAGAGATGTAATGGATAGATGGGGGAGCTTGGAGACAAATGGGTCAGAGATGAGGAAGATCATAGGTATGGGAAGGAGTGAGATAGGAGATTCACAAGTGGGAAAATTTGCTCTGATATCATGAAGGAAGTTGAAATTCCATCCTAAAACTAACTGGCAATTGGGGGGAGTAGCCCAACTTCTTATCCGTCTTTTTAAGGTTTGTTTAGGTTTCTAATATGGGACAATTTCACCTTCACATTCTCATAGCCTGCACAACTCAAAGGAGTAAGAGAAAATCAAATTGAACCATCATAATCTGGATAATCAAGTCTGCATATCCTTTTTTTTTTTTTTTGGGATAATCAAGTCTGCAAAACCAAAGGAATAGGTTCTTTTTTTATTTTTGGTTATCAAGTCTGCTGCATAAATCAAGTGGAATCAAAACCAAGGGCATCGATCTGGATATGAGGGAGGCTCCAATGGCCGCAAGGAGAGGACGGAGACTTTGCTGATGGCGAGGTGGGTGGCTGGGAACCTCGGCTTATGTGTTTTTTTAAAGGACATTGCTTGGCTCCTGATACATCAGGAGCCTTTCCTCCTCCACATACGATGTGGCCTCTTTATAAAAAGGCACCTGGTTTTTTTTTTTTTAAATTATTTTTTTGCAACTCTTTTCAACTCTTCTAAGCCAAGCCCTTTTAACTCAGGTCACGCTCTTCTCTCAGAGAGAGCTCCAGCGACGTAAACCTCAAACCATCGACCACGTAAATCTCCGATCATCGACAACGTAAATTTCAGGCAAACTTCTCTCACTGTTTGATTTAGGGTTTAGGAATGGTTAGTACAACAACATTGTTTCCCTTTCTTAATTTTGGAATTTTAGTTTTCAGACTACTTCCGATGAGTGGGTTTCTTATGTTTATATGGTTTATCAAAGTAGTATACTTGTAATGAACTTATGTTGATAAATATATAAAAACATCTATTTGATTTGTAATATAATATTCTCTTTTCTCCTTGTAAGCTAACCAGACTTTTAATTTGGGTGAAATAAATGGTTATAAGTTGCAGCCAACCTGTTTGAAGAAATGTCTAAACCAAGTTGTGATCTTTTTTTTGTTTTGTTTTTGTGGTTTCTATTTTCTTAAATGATTTTAACTTCTAAATATGATCCAGTGGTTCTAATTGGTAGTGGCAATATTGTAGGTGGATGGAGATTCAAGAGTTTCCAAGACTAAGCAATATGTTATCCAGTGATGTCAACGTTGATTTGCAAGGTGAGGACAAATCTGATCCATTTACTCATTTTTCACCTACTAATGATCTAGATGAATTGAATAAGAACAATCGAGAGAAAATTGAAGATGATTTGCTTAGTAGAGAGTTTAGTTGTCATGAGAGTGCATATAAGTTTTATGTACAGTATGGTGGTGAAAGAGGTTATAGTGTGAGAAAACAACATTGGAGGAAGAACAAATTGGGTATTGTGACACGGGTAACTTATTGTTGTTCAAAAGAAGGTCAAACAGCGTGAAAAAGTATCTTATTCTCAACCAATTTCAAGGGTGGGTTGTGAAGCACATATGACTTGCTTACTTCAAAAAAATGGGAGTTTTAAGGTTACATCGTTTAAAGGAACCCATAATCATGCTTTGATTAGAACACCAATGAAGCATATGCTTAGGATTAATAGACCACTTATGAAATTTTTTGTTTTTTTATTGTCAAAAACCTGTTTGTAGGAAATTGATTTCGCAAGTGGAGGTTCACAAGTGCAACATATTGTTGGACATGAGGTTCAAGCATTTCCTCTTCAAGGAAATTACCTTATCAATTTCAGTTTGCATATAAATAATTTATTTAAACTTCAATTTTTCTTTATGCCTCTAATAGGAACCTTGTATGGAAAATGGAACCTACATGCCATTTTCAACAGAGGAAAGCTCTAATATGATGACAAGTTGGCAAGACAAAATTTCTTTCACCCAACTACTTCATGTAGGTATATTCATGATGTTACTATTTCTTTGCTAAATTTACCTTATTAACTTGAAGCTTGGATACTTTGTAGGAACAAGTACATATTGATGCTTTTTCACAAGACCAAGAATTGGGAAGTTGAGCAAGATCTTTTTGTTGGATATTTTTTGGGTAGTGCAGCTATGAAATATTTAACAGATGAAGATTGCACAAGTTTTTTGTTGGGTTGTGCAACATATCAAAGGATATCATACTTGTACATTTTGTGCAGCATGGGTTAATAGGGATTGCACATTTTGTTTTTTGATTGTGCAACATCATTGACTTGAAGGATAAAAGTTGTATATGTGCTATTGTTGCTTAATGGGTGACAACGAAATGGCTTAATGAAAAGATTATTTATTTATTTATTTATTTTCTTGGAACAGGTTGGATGCAACCTATACAACCAATTTACTTTAGCAAAAAAATATGAAAACCAGATAGCTTGCAAGGAAATGAGAAAATTATATAACAAATTAAATACCTTTTATTTATTTATCAACATAAGTTTATTATAAGCAAGGATCTGGGAGTTTAAAGTAGTTGGAGTTTGCTGTTGAGGAGGCTTGAGTTAAGCTAAAACCAGTCATGGACTCTTGGGTTAGAGAGTTGAAAGAAACAAAAAGCAAAAAAAACAAAAACAAAACAAACAAACATGTGTCTTTTTGTAAAGTGACCACGTAGTCTGATGTATCAGGAGCCAAGCAATGTCCTTTTTTAAATTGCTTAGTTGTTTCTTACTTTCCTTAGAGCTAAACAGTGTTAAATTGATGTTATTGGTTTGACCAAAAAAATATATATATGTTAGTGGAAGTACACATGTCAACATTTTAGGTAGGGGACCGAGGGGTACAGAGACTGTCATGGATTCATGTTCATACTACCCCAAATTCGCACCAAAGCTTATCAAAGTCTAATTTCATTTTTTTCCACTACCAATTTTTTTTTTTTACTTTTTAATAAAATAAAACAAAATTAAAAGTGCTAAATACCATTCGAATTAACACTTGTCCTCCAAAAAAATTGCGCTTTGTGTGTTTGGTTACATGATCTAGAAGCCCAAAGCAGAGGAAAAACCATACACAAACTGCTTTGAATTGCATTGACATAAGACCATCTGCAATGGTTAGGATCAAAGCAATTTTATTGTATGAAGTTGAACTAAAATTGTAAAATCTCACTTGCAATAATGTGATTTAGGGGGGTGTATCCAATTTTAACTTTTAAAGACTTTTTTTAAGTGAGTGACTTTTCTAGAGTTGACAGATTCTTAATGACTTTTACATACTTTATAAAGTAAAGTGACAAACTTTCATATACTTTTGTCATAGAGTTTTATAGACTTTTAAATACTTATTTTTATATTTATTTTACGAATAGCATTTATCTATGTTGAATTAACTAGTCGGCATACAATTACGTAAAAGCAAAGAATAGTTGTCCTTAACATTAGAAAATGATAAAAATGACAAAGGTTCCATTCATTTCAATGACGTTGAATAAACCATAATAAAAATTCCTTTAGAAATTCCAATGCTCATTATCGTTGAGTTGCGTTATTATCTTGCATGACATTTCTCCACATGTCAGAAGCTATACCAACTCTCCATTCATTAGCATTCTCTCGTTGTTGTTCTTGAGTTTCAAAGACTTGTTCCACATTATCTCCTTCATTCCCTGGTAATGGTGAAGATGATGAAGACTCGTTCTCTGGTTCAATAGGAAATTCATCAGAACGACATTCCCTTCGAAGAAAATTATGTAGTCCTGCACAAGCTAACACAAGCTCTGCTTGAGTCCTATATGGGAATGGAGGTGCTGACTTGAAAATTGTGAATCTTGATTTAAATATCCCAAATATCCTCTCAATTACATTCCTCAAGGAAGCATGGCGAATATTGAACAACTTAGTTGCGTTTTCAGGGTCACGACCTTGACCAGCAAAATCTTGGAGATGAAAACGTACACCTCGAAATGGAGCTAAAAATTGACGTCGATTTGGAAATCCACAATCCACTAAAAAATATTTACCTAATCATAAAATATATAATAAATTTGTATGCAAAGCGTGATATAATGAATGATAATAATAAAATGAAGAGATAAGAGTGTACCTTGTGGTACCTTGAGTCCATTCCTCCTTGATAAAGCATCATTTAACACTTTTGAATCATGAGCTGAACCTTCCCATCCATTGAGCACATATATGAACTCCAAATCAAAGTTACATGCTGCTAATACATTTTGTGATATCTTTCCATGACGATTACGATAGCTGCTTACGTCACGTCCCTTCACCATGGTTGGAATATGTGTACCATCAATAGCTCCAATGCAATCCTGAAATGAATTAATAAGAAAGTATAAGTAAAACATAGTCTTTGTTGGAATAATAACAATAATACTTATAATAATAAATTTCATCACCTTAAAGTAGGGGTAAAATCGTGTACTTTCTCTTATCTTAGCTGGCACTGCAGATCGAGGTTTAGCCAACATCTCTGGTGCTAGTGTGTTCAATGCCTTCAAGACTCTGTTGAAGTTTTTGCTAGTAGCAAAATGTGATCGATCAAATGTTTTTCGAGTAAGACAATATCGAGAATTTTGACCTACAGTGAGTAAAAATGTAGCAAGCATTTCTTCAACACAAATAAATCTTGTATCTTGTAGGAGTGTTTTGTCTCTGATGATAGTGCATAATTTCCGAAACACATCTGGATACATTCTATAGACTTGTCGAAATTCTTCAGGATCTTCATGTAATATTTTATGTATATAATCATACCCACTTGTAGTAATTGGCCGTTGGATTAATGGACGCTCAATATACTCACTACACATAATAACTATAAGCTCATGTAGCACTTGGACCACTGCTTCCATTGCCATTAGCAAATGCTTGATGGTTTCGTAAACTTCTTCGTCCATTTCTTCCTCATTCATTTCTTCTCCCTCCATTTCCTCTTCCTCTGCTCTAGTATCTCCATGCATGTTTGATTGAGACATCATATGTGAACCACCTAAAATAAATTGGAAGCAATTACATTGTATAATATATAATGTGGTTGCCTATGTTTAGTAAAGAATGCACTTGAAATTGCATGAGACACAACATTTCTTTAAATATGTTCCAACAGCTCAGAGATATCATATTTGATGCATATGAAACAAACTTTAAAACTTTAAATATGTTCCCAATAGAAAATTTGACAAAATTCCACAAATAAAGCCATAAACAAACTCCAAAAATTCAGATAAGTCGTGCTTAAGCATACTCCAAAATAAATAAATAACCAAGTTCCAAACCAAAGTCTATCGTCTCCCACATAACCTCATACATTATCCAATCTTTGCGATCCTGAGGTGACATTTTCCAGAACATATCTTTTTTTGCTTTAGTATTAAGCAACTCAACAACCTTGTAACGAACCTGACTATCTAAGTTTGGGATTTCCATGATAGCATCCCAGCAACCACTCTCTTTTTCCCTTTTTTCCATAAGGCTATGGATTCCCCGAAAATCTGTGGCAATTGCATCAATGCTAAGAGAAACTCTTTCTAGAACATCAGCTCGAGTGTTGGTCTCAAAAGAGCTAGTGTTCCCCTCATACTCAGTTCTATTTCTTTTTTTCTGACCATTGCTTTCCAAGGGAAGCTCCACATTTGTGCCTTGAGTGGGTGATAGATCTTGGAATCTTGCAGCTTCAACTTCATTTGGTATGAATGCATGATTATCACAATCATAACTCAAGTCATCTATCCCCACACGTCTACTTTCTTCCACTCCTAATGTTCTTGCATCCGTATCATCTCCCAATGCAATTGAGTTTCTCCCAATGGCAGTTCCATTACCAATTGCAATCCTCAAAAGTTCATAGTCAGCAAAAGTGTCTGTTTGAAAGTTGACATGGGCCGGGTGGGACTAACAAAGGGAAAAAAAAAATACATACAATTAATGCATACACATACAAAATAATAAATTATCATATAATATATTTTCGAAAATAGAAGCTCACCTTAATATAATCTTTCCACACTTCATCACTAGCGATGAACTTCTTTGTGATTGGATCCCGCCCGAACCCAGAGCTATGACGCATAAGCTCAGAAAAAATATTATATCGTTGCTTAAACCATTTCAATCGGCTTAAGTATTGTGAATGATTCCTTTCACATCCAAGTTTTGCATTAAGAGCAGGAAGAATCTTTTTCTCAACCGTTTGCTTGCTTAGCATTCCATTACTATCACGCCATCCACGATTAGCAGCATCAACCATGAGTTGTAGCAACTCATTGCTCTCTTCCAACGTCCACAATTTATAACCCCCATTAAATTTGCTCTTTCCTTTGTCATTTCCCCGTTGTGATTCTTCCATTGATAATTACTATATCACACGTACAAATCCTTATTAATTGTGTATATTTTCATAATAGCATATTGGTAAAATGTATCCAATAATGCACCTTTTAAATTTTTATTTATCAAATCTGATCACATAGATAAGTAACATATTCTTATCAAAAGAAATAAATAGTACTCATCATCAATAATATTTCATAAACACTCACAAATCAACAAAAATGGTCAGATTACAAGAGTCTATATTCCACCAATTCTCCTAGCCCAATATGTGATCAAATTGAGAATATTATATGAAAAAATTATCTACCTAACGAATTATGGGTAAAGAAATAATACCTAAATAATAAATTAATGGGTTTAACATATATAGCCTTCACCACCTCAGGTTTTTCTTTTCACTTTGCAATACCCATGTGTGGTTTTGGCCTTGGAAACACAAAAACCTTCGTTTTAGAACTACTTTTTTCCATTCAAATGGTGGTTTTCTCTGTTTCCTTGAGTTCTTTTTGTCTGAATATACAGATTTGAGATTTTTGAACAAAGACGACTCCTTTTGGCCAAAAACATGTTTATTGGCTTGAAAAAAAATGAACTTTATTCTCAGCTTCTGCTTCATCAAACCATTCTGTACTTTGATTTTGTAGTTCTATCTGAAAAGTTTTTAAAATTGTGCATGAAAATCGATGATTTCGAAATGTAGGTTTATGAGGAAAAATAATACTATAATAGTGAAAAGAAAAACCTGAGGTGGTGGGCA